TGCGCCCCCCCCCACCCACTCTGCCCTCAGGAGCTGCTCACTACCTACCCCTTCACCAAGATTGCTAGCTGGAGCAGTGGCAGCACCTACTTCCACATGGCGCTGGGGAGCCTGGGCCGGGGCAACCGCTTGCTGTGTGAGACCTCTCTGGTGAGCCCCAGGCCTGGGGGTGTCCTAGGGGCCCTAGTCCCTTCTCCCGGCCCAAACATACAGGACCCAGAGGCATAGAGACTGGGTTCTCCCCATGCTGACCCACCACTGCACCAGGCAAGTTGTTCACTATGGGGGTACAGCCCCCCTGTGCCCAGGGTGGGCAGGGCCAGGCTGGGAGGCCTGGAAGGAGGCGCAGGCTGTGCATCATCCAGGAGTATGCTAGCAAGGCCTGGCAGCAGGCCCCGTGGTCCTGGGTCACCCTTCCTATAGCAGGAGCTTCTGTATTCACCTCTCTGCGCAGTGTGTCCCTGAGGTAGAAGCTGGGCACTGCCAGGCCCTGGCCAAGCCTGCCCAGCTGGACCCCACAGCCTCCAACCCCACCCTTCCCCTATCCAGGGCTACAAGATGGATGACCTGCTGACTTCATATGTGCAACAGCTCATGAGCACCGTGAACAAACAGCGGGGTGCCCGGGTCCCAGCCCTGGCTGATCCCTAGCAGCAGGGGTTCGCTTGCCCATACAGTCACTCTTCCCAATCTGGGGTCCTTCTTTTGGCCCAGGCCCTGCCCTCTGCAGATAGCCTTTCATGTTACCTTCTCCCCAAAACATACATACCACCTAGCACCACCTAGCACCCCAGGCTGCTCCCCTAACTCCAGGTGCTGATCACACAGAGTCAGAGGAGAGAGGCCAAGGTGGGGCTGGTAGGGCCAGAGGTGCTAGGCCTCCCAGCTGGTGGGTGGATGGCTGAGAAGATACCCCTAGAATGTTCAATAAAGATTCCTGGAGCAGTGGGGAGTGTGTCAGTGAGAGGACAGGGTGAGGGGTCACGTGGGCAGGAAGCCTGGGAGGCACTGGCCAACAAAGGGTCTCTTCCAGGAAAATCAAAAAGCATTGTGGCTTCTCCAGGGACACCTGGATGACGACTCTGTTCTCAAGGAATGACTTCATTGGTTTCTCCCTCCTATCTTCCTTATCTTCCTGCTTCTTGAACTGGGGAGAGGCCCCTCTGCAAACCTTTTTTCCTTACCCTGTAGGGCAATGAGACACAAAATTCCTGCCAGGAGGGCCAGTATAGGCACAGGCCACTGGCTTCACGCTAAGACCAGTCTCTCCCCAGGCAGGAGGCAGAGCTGGGTGCAGGGCCTTGGAGACCTGGCTTTGCCCCAGTTGCACTGGCAGCCCTGACCCCTGCCACCCTCCACCTACCAGGACATCCTTCGTGGACTGAGGAGGGTTTCTGGCTGCTCTCCAAGCCCTGATGGCAGCCTGGCCCTAGGTCCCATCTGCCCTGCATGGTGTCTGGTGCTCTAAGTGTTCAACAGCCCTGAAGCACTGCCCAGGTCCTCACCCAACGCCACAAACCACACAGGTCTCATCGTGTCAATAAGCCTTTGTTTATTGTGCAGTGTGAGTCCTAACACCAGGTCCTGTGCTGGCCACAGAGGAAGTGTCTTCCCTGGAAGGCAGGAAGGAGCCAGAGCCACCCACCTGATCCCACCACCTCCTGGCTCAGCATGTACCCTGGGGGCTGGGGGTGGAGCTGGAGGAGCTGTGGTGACCACAGAGGAGTTCTGGGGGACCATGGTGGCCGAGGCTCAGGATGGAGAGACAGGGGAAGTAGAGTCCTTGTCTCTCCTGCTGATTTGTGGAGTGAGGTGACAGGACTTGCTAGCCTAGTTTGGGCACAGGAATCCTACTTGGTTGAGTGAGTGCATGGCTGAGGGATAGAAGAGTCGCTCCCCAGAGGCTCCTTTCTGCGTGGCCTTGGTTCTGGGGCTGGGGTGCCTGCCTGGCCATGGAAGGCCACACGTATGCACAGTGGGGCCACTCAGGCAGAGGATGGCCAAGCCCACACAGAAGAATGTGAGCCGCTAGGCCTCTTGTGAGGATGGGATAGGTCAGAAAGGTAGAGCTGGGAGCAGTGGCCCACATCTGGGGCCTAGTGAACCCAGGCCCGGATTCGCTCTTGTCCCTGGAGGACCCTGGGCTAAATCTTATGGGCACAGGCCTGGCACAGGCTCACAACTTCCAGGGCCCTGCCTCTGCCCTGTGCCTGCAGAGAAAGAAGGAGAGGAGCCCAGGGAAAGGGGGAGAAGTTGAGAGGAGGGAATGCTGACCAGAGAAAGGGAGAAAAAGGACCGGGAAGTAAGGAGGTGGGGACAGATGAAGGGTGATGACACTAGGGGGTGGAGGTGGCAAACAGAAGAGGGCAGCAGGGGCAGAAAGACCAGCAGGAAGGAGAAGAGGGGGCCTCTCAGGTGGAGTCAAGGCCCACAGACTTGGGGTTAGCCTTGCGGGCAGCCAGCTCGGACAGCTTCTTCAGCCGCTTCTTCAGCTCCAGAGGGAACTTCTCATAGCATCTCTTACACACAGGCTTCATGTCAAACTCCACAAACTTGTTCCTGGGGAGGAAGCACAAGTCAAGGGAGCCCCATGCCCCACCAGCTCTGAGCCAGGTCTCCCCTGACCCTGTAGAGCCAGAGCTGGACGAGCGGCCTTCCCTCGGGCCCGAGCCCACAGCCTCCCCACCAGCCTGCCTCAGCCAGCAGGCGAGGCCCCAGGGTGAGCTTTGGACGGGGAGGTGGGCTTCCAGGCCTCCCTTCCCTCCGAAAAGCTTCTCTCCCATTCCTACACTGCAGAAGACTCCGTGCTGCCCGTACCTCACCCCAGCTCGTCATCTTGCATCCCTCTCAGCTTCCTGAATGAGCCAGGGGTCTGAGCCTCTGCCTTTGAATTCACTATTCCCTGGGTTGGAATGCCCTTCCCTCCCCGAGCCCAGGGACCTTGTGGATGTGTGTTACTTCTCCTTTCACTGTGCCTTAGGGATCCACAGCCCTGACACCATGAGGCTAGAGCTGTCTGTCCCTTCTCCCACTGCATCCCTGAGGCCTGACCACAGTAGGTGTCAGGGAAGGCCTGATGAAAGGCAGAGCCCATAGAAAGCCCACACAAGTTGGAGCCTTGTGACATGCTCCATGAGGAGGAGGTTGCTGTGCAGCTCCCTCTCTGCCCAGCGCCGGCACTCCTGGGAGGCTGGCAGGACTTACTTCAGGGTGAGCTTGCTGTTGCAGGTAGAGCAGGAGAAGCAGTTCACACACCAGGCCTTGTTGAGAGCTGACACCACTGTGATGGGCAGATGAGGCTGGGGCTTAGCAGACTTCCCCCAGGCTACCAGCAGGCCCGACTGTGCAAAATGATGGCCAGCTGGGCCTGCAGTTGCAGGACGCAGAGTCTAGAGGGACAGCAGGGAGGCGGGAGTGGAGGAGGGAGGGAGCACAGGGACAGAAGTGGCTTACCGTCACCCTCGATGACGTGGCTGCAGCTGTAGCAGACATCCCCAAAGAGCTGTGGACCAAGCAGGTGTCAAACACGCAGGCAGTCATGTCCCAGCCCAGGGCCAGGGCTCTGGCCTGGTCCCCACCCTGACTTGCCCCAAATGGCAGCTCTCAGCCATCCACCTGGGCCTCCTGGGCCCTCCTGCCAGTGCACAGCCTCAGACTTGAGGTGAGGGCACCTCTGGCCCATCAGAATCATCCCCTCAGAAGTACAACAGGTTGAAGCATTGCTCCTCAAAATGCCCCTTGGTTCCTGCTGGTGTCCTCAGGGGTATGGACAAGGGCGGCAACACTTGTCTTCTGCACAAGAGCAGCTGGGTAGCCCTGCCAGACATAGCAGGAAGGAGGAGGCTGGTGGCACACATCAGCCCCATGAACCCAGGACTTCACATTGTCATCTAGTTCAGTCCCCACAAAAGGCCTAGGTTAGAGGGGCGCATTTTTCAAATGAGGACACTGAGGCCAACAGGGCTACCCAGGTCTTAAGATCCTGCACTTCAACACCACAGCAAGCCCGAGGGGGCCGTCCCACATCCTCACCTGCTCTGATAGTGCTCCCATTGCTCCCTAGCAGCCTCCCAAGCACACCTTCCAGTAGGCTCCCCACAGCCCCCAACGGGGGCAGGCAGCCTCCCCTCCAAATTTTCGTCCTTGCAGGCCCTGCCAGCCGCCCACGGCCCCAGGCCTCACCTGGTTGTAGTGGGTCTCACAGTAGGCCAGGCCCTTCTTCTCATAGTGCCGGTGCCCCAGGAACGGCTTCTCACACTTGGCACAGACGAAGTGCTGGGAGTAGAGCAGGGAGTGGCAAGGCAGCTCAGGGCTAGAGCAGTGTCCCCAGTAGACAGAGTAGGGTAGAGCACCTCACTGGGTTCACAAGTGGGCAATGGGACTCATACCTGCATGGCCTGCCCCTGGGTCAGCAGACCCCATGCCTCCCCTAACGTGCAGTGAGTGATACTGCATGTGCTACTCCTCTCTGGGGTTGCTCCACCCCCATCAGCCTCGGCATAAGTCATCAGGTGCTGGTTAGGTGCCCACAGTGTGCTAGGCCCTCCCAGGTGGGGCTGCTCTGTTATTTGCATGGTGCCTTCTCGGAAGGCTGCACATGTCTATCTCCCATGGGCATCCCTTACAAGCCCCGAGTCACTGAGCAGTATCTTATCATTCAGCAAGGATTTGGCCACCCCCAGCAAAGTGGGGGCCAGGCCTGTATCAGGAACTTCCCAAAGATGTCACTAAGGCAGAGTTTCCAGAACAGAGTTGGCCAGAGCACTGGGGAGCAAAAGTCTCCTTTCCAAGTAGTGTCTATAAGACCGTTAGAGCCCATAGTGCAGAGGAATGATCCAGGTGGCCCAGGTGGATACACCTGAGGAGCTTGCCAACAGGTATACCCAGCTTCCATCTACATGGGGCTGTATACACAGCCAGCTCTGTCAACCACAATCCCACAATCCCTAAGACTTTCTCATGACTTTAGAATCCTCTAGAAGACCAGGAAGGGGAGGAAGGTGGGCATGGCTGCTTGACCACAATCTGTGTGCTGAGGTCTCCCAGTTCCTATGGACGAGCTGGCACCAAGCCAGGGGCTGCACCCAAGAGGAAGGTGCCTGCTAGGAGCTGGGAGCCAGCCACACAGCCTGGGGGTAGGAGTGTGAAGGCGCTGCAGGGCCAGACTCTCACCACAAACAGGAGCCAGGGGCACCCTGCCTCCTGCCTGGGCTGGCTTCGCTCACCTCCACGTGCCACTGTTTGCCTAGTGCATTGACCACGCGGCCCTCGATGGGCCGGCGACAGGCCCCACAGATGGGAACACCCATCTTGTCATGGCATGGCAGGCAGTAGAGCTCCCCCTTCAGCTCACGGGCCTCGGCAGTCAGCTCCTTCCTGGAAGACAGGTGGAGTGGCCAGGTAAGGATCCGGCCCTTCTTCAGGGCCTGTACTGGCCAGGGTCACAGCAGCCCTGCTAACCCCAGGGAGCAGCTTTCTGAGAGGCCCCACTCTGTGCCAGCAGACGGCTCTTTGATCTTTGGTCTCTCTGGGGACTTCCTGTGTCCCAGACAGGCCCTGGGGCAAAGGATTCCCGCACAGTCCTTGCAGAAAGCAGCCTGTGTCAGCACTATCAGGTCCTCTGAGAAGCAGATCTGTTTTCTGGGCCCCACTGCACCAGTCTGGGAGTCTGGGACAGGCGTGAGGGAATGGCCCTGCAGCCTCTCTTTCCTCTCTCCTCCCCTCTCCAACTCTAACACCAACCCTTCCTCCTCATTGTTGACCTCCATGCCTTTGATTCTTTCCTGTTGTCTTTATCCAGAGGCCTATAGCCTTCCCTTACCCCTGAATCTCAAGCACCAAATCATGCACGTCCTCCCTGAAAAGAGCCCTGGAGAAAGGGGCTTCCTGCAGCGGAGGTTTCCCGGCCCATTCCCCTCAGCCCTACACCCCTCTCTCCTGCCTCATCACTGCCCCAGGTGGGGGTCCCACCCAACTCTCCACCAGCCCTAGTCTTTCATACCTGCAGTGGGTGCAGCTGAAGTGGTCTGGATGGTATGCGTCACTCCTGAACATGAGGGGCTGCTCCTCGATGACCAGGTGGCACCGCTGACAGATGTACTTGCCCAGGCCCTTAGCCTTCTCACGGTTGTGGCAAGGTCGGCACAGGTGCCTGTGGGAAGCAGGCGGGCATTAGGGGCAGACTGCCCATTCCTCCTTTTCCTCTGTGGCCACTTCCAAGGAGAAAAGATCCCTGAACCACCCAAGCTTTAATGAATGCCTGTAAGCCTCAAGGGGCTCAGCCAGTGGTCCCAGAGCAGGCCAGCCAGTCCTGCAGCCAAGAAGGCCACAACCACTGACATGTCCTCCAAAAGGAGCCTCTGTAGAGCAGAAAGACCAGGAGGAGGTATACCAGCGTGCTGGTGCTTGCTGTCTTTGGGTGGTATGGCCAACACGATAGCTTTTCTTTTTCCACTTGTCCTGAGCCTCGGACATCATGTGGAATAGAGCACACATTTCACTGACATTTGCTGAAAAATTAGTTTTATTTTTCAAATGTCTTTTAACACACAAGTATTATGTAGTAGTTATTAGCCTTAACCCTGTCAACTGGCCAAGGAGGGCCCAGTCTGTCGGCCTGCACTGTCCTTCCTTTGGGGTCTGCCAGACAAAAAGGGACCAAACATCTACAGGCTCTTTTTGTCTCCAAAGACAAGCATGCCTGTGTCAGACAGAGGCCTCCAAACCCAGGAACTGTCATTACAGAGTCTTTTTTGTGAAGACCTCAAAGTAATTTCTGATGCTACTCCCTGTGTTGGGCAACAGCTGTGTTCTCTCTCTACTGAGAGAAATCAACATGGTTCCTGTTTCTCTGGCCCTCAAAGGTGGCAGGAACTTAGACTACATGTGCCAGGCAAAGATATACAAAGGCCTCAATCCATTGCTCCTCATCTCTGCCTCGCACCCCAATCTGTACATGTCCCTGATGCATCCGGGCCCTCCTCCTCCCTTTCCAGATTCCCAATTCACAGCGAGCCTCTCCACCCCTCACCTGATCCCAGTGTTGGCCCCTTTATAGGCAGGTCGGGGAGTCCACTAAAGATTAACTTTCAGGCCCGGCGTGCTAGGCAGATCCTGGATGCCAGGGCAGCCCAACTCAGGGTCCATGCTCTTGACCACAGAGCTTGTGCCTGATTTGGGTCTGGGCTCCATGACGCATAACACTGCTCTCCACTTGCCCTATCTCAGTCTTATCTCCCCAATGAGTGTGAATGCTAAGGAGCCCAAGTGAACGCCCAGCTGCTGACAGCTCCCAGCTGTGCCCGCCACACACAGCAGCAGCTTAGGATGAGTCTGCTGACACATGAATGGGTGTGAAGGAGAGGAGGAATGGGATTGTGGGCATCATTTCCCTGTGACAGCACAGTCAGACTGAGACTGGGAGCTGGTGTCCTGGACTGGGATCCCTGGCTCTCTCTACCTGTCTATGGGCCACAAATGTGGCCCATGGCTGCAGCCCTCATCTCTGTGACAAAGGCTTTGCCCCTTTCAGTCCCCAGATGAAGCCTGATGGGTTTTCCCCACCCCACTCTCATGCTGTGCCCCAGCCCCCTTGCCAGGCCACCTGCCATAGCAGTCCTCAGCTAAGCCACTCCCCAAGCCACCCATTGTGACTAGCCCTGTTCACACCACATCTACCGCCTGCTTGTATCTCCGTCACAGACACAACATTTACTCTCTTTAACCGCAAGGTCAATTTCGGGGACCCCTCTTAGCATGAGGACAACACTCAATCCTTTCTTTTAGAAGGTATAGAGATTAGCATGACTCCCCAAAATTCTGTTGCAATGGTTGATGCCCTCAAAGCCTCTGTCGGCAATCACCCAACAATAGAAATGCCCTGCTCAGGACAGCCAGTCAGACATTCTCGTTTCGAGCTAGTGTGAGCTAGTTCTTCCACACCACACTCGCAGGGCCCAGCCTCCCACACCTCAAGAGAGCCCAGCTTTCTTGAAGGAACCACAGATGGGAAATGTCTTTTTGACAGATCTGATCCCTGTACCCGATCTGAAGGCAATGTGCAGAATTCTAGCATCAAGGTGCAAGAGGAAAACAAAACAAACACACATGCAAAGCAGAAATTTTGGAGTCACAGAGGCTTGGGTTCAAATCCTTGCTCTGCCACTTCCTAGTAGTTTGTCATTGGCAAGTTACTTCACTTCTCTGAGCCTCATTTCCTTGTCTGTAAAGGGCGATAATCCCAACTGCATGGGATTATGTGAAAAACAAGTTTAAGGTAGTACCCGTGGTAGTTACTTCCCAATGAGAGCTATGTACACGATTCATGTTTTAACTAAAATAGTTAAAAGCTTTTTGAAATTGGGAATGGTGATTTGGTTCCCTGTGTTACTGGATACATCATTTTTGGAAAGACACGGAGAAACAAACTTAGCTCGATAGTCTCGGGAGGAGCTGCTGCCAACATCCAAACACCCCCAGTCTTGGGCACCCCTCAGGGAGAATCTTTAGGGGACAGTGGTTAGTGGGCAGCAATGGTCCTCTTCACAGGCCTGCCATCCAGAGGAGAAGCCTGCACGAGTGAAGGCCGGGCTTCCCAGGCTGAGATGTCCCCACAGGCACAGACAGCGCCCCATTATGAGGCGTCCTGCAGCTGTGCCCTGCTCAAAATAAAGGCCATGGTTTATTCCGCACACCCGAATGGAGTCTAATTATACAGGGCAGGACACAAGGACCCTATAGCAAGTGTCCTGAAAGAGTCCCCTCTCATTCGACCAAAGGAGATTCCTTAGCCTCCCACCCTCCCCATTCATAAGACCCCTCCAATGCAGCCCCTGCAGGCTTGGGAGCCTGGGCCCATTGCCACAGCAGAAAGCCCCTCCCTGCCTCCCCCCATGGGTAGGAAACTGTCCCCTTCTGAAACGTCCTGTTGTGTTTGTTAGTCCCAGCCAGTCACCCCCACCCAGCCTGTGCCCACCCCACAGCTTCGCAGATAGCCACACACT